CCTCCCTCCCAAGCCCCCAGCACACATAATAAACTTTACCCCCTCCCTCCTTTCCTTCCCAGCCCCCTCACCTGCTTGCATCCTTGCAGGGAAGAGGCACATCATCGTTCCCTGGTTATCTAGTGGTGAGTAGTAAGGTCTAGTGCAGACCTTAATAATGATTCATCATTCGGCTGGAGCTCAGAACTGACAGAGCTTTGGCCGGAGCTGACAGGAGCAGCTCTGCGGTCTGCATCCGACAATACGACATAAATGCAGACCGTGTAGCTGCTACCGCAAGTAAGGCATGCGGTCCGTGCTACGGGCCACATAGTACCAGCTCACGGGCCGGAGTTGGCCAGCGGGTCGGTACTTTGAGACCCCTGCTCTAAGGGTATTGAATCAAAATTAAAGGAGGTCCAGTGAGTAAAATTTTCTTCAAGCAGAGGTCTGATTCTCATGTCCCCTAATACCCCCTTATAGTACTGTCCCCATAAGAGCCCCTCCTTACATTAGTCTTTGTAATTTATGGTTCCCCATCAGAGTGCAACTTAAATAGTGTATGCCATCACAGCACCCCTTTACATTATTGTTTGCCGTCAGAGCACCCCCTTACATTAGTGTTTGCCTTCAGAACGTCCCCTTACATTAGTTTTCTCCATCAGAGTGCCCCTTTACGTTAGTGTTCCCCAACAGAGTGCCCCTTGCATTAGTGTTCCCCAACAGAGTGCCCCTTTCTTTCATTATTAATGTAAGGGGTCACTCTGCTGGGTTCTGCTAATGTAAGGGGGCACTCTGATGAGGACAATTAATAATTAGTTTTCCTTATCAGAGTTCCCCCTTACACTGACTGTCCCCATCAGACTGCCCCTTCCTTTCGCAATTGGTGTAAGAGGGCACTCTGACCCATCGAAGTGCACCCTTCATTGGTTGTGCCCTTTTGAGTGCCCCTTTACATTGGGGGTTCCCATTTGTCCATTATGCTTTGTAACATAAGGACACAGGCAAATACGATTCCCTGCTGCAAATTGGATAAAATAAGGTGTCCACAGATCTTCTAAAATGCTAATAATCAAATCATAGAAAAATCAGCCCTTGTGTTGAATTCTCTGATCTTTTAGGGCAGTCTGAACATTTTCTGATTTTGTTTTTTGTGTGGTTTTAAAGGGTGTGGTGTACAACGTGATTTCCTTTCATTTCCCATTCTTAGCTGATGTAATTCTAACCTAACCAAATTTTTATGTGGCATTCACATTTTTACATGTGTGCTTTTATTTTGTTATTGTATTAAATGTAGAGGTTTATAGATTACTATTAGAGTCAGGGTACATGTTCTACTACAATGACTGCCTGACTGCTTAACAACAATTAAAGGAGAACTATGGGGTAAGTGTTTTCCCCCATAGTTCTCCTAAGGGTCACGGGAGGACATATACTAGCGTCCTCCGATGACCCAAAGCTCAGTATATCATGAGTACATTCCTGTCGAGATCCACCCAACTGCGTGAGGCAGAGCCAGCTATACCTGTCCCCTCCCCCGTCCGTTCCACCAGTCCTGTTGGAGGATCGGAGCGTGGAGGGGGGGAATCCCTGCAGGGAGTCGTGAGTGACAGTCACGGCTCCCTGCAGGAAAATGATCGAGAAGTGAGGAAAAAATTGCATGTTTTATGTTATGTCTAAAGCTGAATGGTGTGCAGACCAGTTATCCTCTGAGGCCCCATTCACACTAAGCGACATACCTTTTGGAGCAGATCCGCGCGGCCGGGATAGCACGACTTTTGGGGCGATGTTCCAGTGACGATCCAGCGACAGTAGCGCGACCTTCACCGGCAGGCTGCATTAAAAAAAATGGGAAAATTGCGCAAAATCCGCAGAAAAAATGGTCCTGTAGAAGCGACTTGCGACCGGGACGGGCGACATGGAGCTGTACATGAAGACAGCTCCATTGAAAATCATTGGCCGGCAACTTCTCGCGATATCGTGCAGCAAAAATGCGCGATATCGCGGCGGAAATCGCGCAGCAATCCTGTGAATGGGGCCTAAACTGAATACTGTGGCACCATCCACCAGTTGTTCCAGCACTCATTGAATCCTGGAGTTTATTGGTATGGTGTGCGAATGAGATATCACTAAGGTCTAAGGCAGGGGCGCCCACAATTTTTCGTCTGGAGATCTACTTTTCAAATGACAAGCTCAATGAGATCTACCAACGACAAAACACCTGCATTCAGGGGCGGGAGGGGGCGTGGCGGTGCATCGAAGTCAATAGCACCGCAGCCAGGCCCCTCGCCCACAGTGCGATCGCCTGCACACGGAACACAGGCACATTAGTGTCTGCGTTCAGGTCCAGTGCAATCCGCAAAAATGCTGCAAGCACTATTTTGTGCAGATCACACTGGACCGGAATGCAGGCACTAATGTGCCTGCGTTCTGAGTGCGGGCGATCGAACTGTGGGCGGGGGACATGGCTGCGGTGCAACCCCACGCTCCCTCCCGCCTCTGAACGCAGGGAGTCGAGCGGCTTGCATTCCAGTGCTATGTAGAGGTGCCGGCGTCCTATCCTCCCGCGATGCTCGTGTTGCTGAGGTTGCACACGGGGAGAGGTGTCTCGCCCCTTTCCATCTGCAGCGTCTGACACATTCAGCCAGGATCCGCACACGCACCGCCGGAGCATAGCCGTAGCCAGCTCCTTTTGTGACATGTCAAGAAAGAAAAGGTGCCCTGCCCCCAGGATTTTTTATTTTATTTTTTACTATTTTTTATTTTACTTATTTAATAAAAAAAAAACATAATTTTAATTGTTTTTTTTTTACTGTTGGGGGGCTTCAGGGAAATATTAGGGGTCTAAACAGCCCCCTGATATTTCCCTTGTAAAATAGAAAAATAAATTAAGGACAAAAAGTCATCAATCTCTTTTTCTGTTGCCTCTGTTCTAAATGAATGGAAAGCACAGAGGCTTCCCATTCATTCAGAAAATATTTACTATCACCAGTTTCTGGATGGGGAGGAGCCTCTGTACAGAGTGCTTTTCCCCATTGAGAAACTCATGAATGAACAGGAAGTGATGTAAATCACATCCTGTTCATTCATAACTGGGGACACATAGTACTATGTGTCCCCAGTTATTTACAAACACTGGAGTGATCAGCTGATCGCTGATCAGCTGATCATCCTGCACAGAGGATTGGTACATATCGCTGATATGTACTGATCCTCTGCCGCTCTGCCACGCACAGAGGGGGCTGTAACTTCTCCTCGGGATCCCCCCCTGCTCTCCCGGGCAGAGGCAGCGGGAGATCCAAGGAGAAGTGAAGGAAGCACTTCAGCCGCGGGGGGGTACGAAGCCGCTGTAACAGCAGCATGTGTGGTGATGAGAGAGGGAGCCGCCGGCTGTCAGATACAGGCCGAGCGGCTCTCTCTCTCCTCACCGCTTGGCGTGCTGCTGTGATAGCGGCTCCCTCCTCCACCCCCCGAGCCACCAACTGCAGCTTCACTTTTTCTTGGATCACCGCTGCATACAGATGGGGGAGAGCAGCGGGGATCCAGAGAAGACAGGACATCGCGATCTACCAGTGATTGCTACGCGATCATTGGTAGATCGCGATTCACCTAATGGGCACCCCTGGTCTAAGGCAATACCTATCCCTCCTCCCTGATATCCTTGTTCTGGGAAATATGCTGTTGTCATTATAATATATATGAGCCATTGGAGAGTCATCTAACATGTGTGAGATATATATGAATTCTGTGAAATTACAGTTTTTTTCTTTTCCTCCTCCCTAAAGTACACTTTGGAAACTGATTATAACCAGACTATGTGACAATATAAAACAGGGGACACGATTTATGAGGATTTGTATTCATTACCATGTTTTTTTAAGTGTGTGTTTTCTTTTTCTATGACCATTATATGTTTTTGTAATAAATTATAATGTTTGTGCATTAGATCATGTACAGTAGCCACATTTAATTTGTAGAGAATTCATAGGTATATGGTTGTACGATTGTTGAGTCCCACAAACTGGTTGTTTTGGGATTATTAGATGTAATGATGCAAGATGGTACTGAATGTAACATGAATGTATCCTTATATGTTTGTGTGTAGAAGACTTAATGACATACAGTCTAATTGTTCCTTGTGTAGTGGTCTTAAAGCCTATACTATTTGTTTATTTTTTTTTCCCCTTAGGTAGAATATTAGCTTAGCTAATGGCTCAACGTTTTACGCTATTTTGTCCTACTGATATTGTGTTTGTGTTTTATTTGTAGTGCTCTATGCCATCCTGTGTCACTGCTTTCCATGTTACTTGCGCCTTTGACCACAACTTGGAAATGCACACTACCTTGGTGGAAAACGATGAGGTAAAATTTAAATCCTTCTGTCTTGGGCACAGCAGTGGAGCCACCAAACCAGAGGATCAATGCAGCCAAAGACCTTCATCATCTGTCTCCCAAGCAGATACTGACCAAACCAAGCAGGACCTAGAAAAGGTAATGTTGAGGAAACAAAAGCTACTGCAGCTGGAGGAGGATTTCTATGAACTTGTTAAGCCAGGCGAGGTGGCGGAGAATCTTAATATGAACAAGAACACAATTGACTTTATTTATCAGTACTGGAAACTGAAGAGGAAGGCAAACCTTAACAAACCTCTCGTAACTCCCAAAACAGATGAAGTGGATGATTTAGCTCAGCAAGAGCAAGATATATTATACCGAAGGCTAAAACTCTTCACACACTTAAGGCAGGATTTGGAAAGGGTAAGTTTGTAACATAATTAATTCATTTTACAAAAAGAGTGTAAATGGATACATCTCCTCAGAGCCTATTAACCCCCTGGGATCAATGAAGCTTTAAACTTTAGGTGTTTTTTGGGAGTTTTTTTTTAATGTTTTGGTAAAAGGAAAGGAAATAACAGGGTATGATAGTGGAAGGAAAATGAGACATAGGAGAATTACAATTATTTATATAGCGCCAACATATCATTTAGACAAGACAGGTAAGAAACACTGACAAGCATTATTGACATACAGAAAAAGTAGGTGAGGAGGACCCTGCCCAAACAAGCTTACAGTCTAAGAGGAAGGAGACCAAAGGCACAGAGTTGGGGAAGGGGAGACTACAGATGTATATTAAATAAAATGGGAGGGGATTTGGGAGTACTGTGAAATGGGAGCAGAAGGGAAGGTTGCATAGGGTGAGAAATCAAGAGGAGTGCTTATATGCTTCTCTAAAGAAGTGCATTTTGAGGGATTTTTAGGGATTTTTAAGCCCTGTAAGGATGGAGAGAGCCTGATGTGGTGTGTGAGAATTCCATAAGGTGGGGGCATTCTTAGTGAGGTCCTGTAAGTGAGAGTTGGGTGTGCTGGTGAGTGAGAAGGATAGTTTTAGGTCATTAGTGGAATGGAGGAACCGGTTTGGAGTATATCTTCTAATTAGGGATGAAATGTAAGCCGGTGCACGGTTATGCAGAGCTTTGTAGGTATGGCTGAGAAGTTTGAAGTGTATCCTAAAAGAAACAGGAAGCCAGTGCAGAGATTGACAGAGGGGTGACGTGTGAAAGTAGCAGGAGGTAAGGTAGATAAGTCTTACTGAAGCATTCTTCATGGATTGAAGGGGGGCAATCTGGGCACATTTCAGGCCAATGAGAAGAAGGTTGCAGTAGTCAAGTTTGGAAATGAGTGGTTCATGGATGGGCATTTTGGTGGCATCCTCCAGTGAGAAAAGGTCGAATTCCAGAGATGTTTTTCATGTGAAAACAGCACAATTTAGTGGTAGAGTGAATGTGGAGGGGTAAAGGAGAGGTCAGAGTCAAAAAAGCACACCAAGGCAGCGTGCCTGTGGAGTAGAGGAAATGGTAGCTCCATCAGCCTGAAGAGAGATGGGCATGGGGTAAGCTTAGAGGAAGGAAACATGAGGAGTTCGGTCTTAGAGAGGTTCAGTTTGAGGAAGCGGCAGTCATCCATTTTGAAACAGCGGATAGGCAATCAGTTAGTTACATGAGCCAACAGATCCGGTGAGGAGAGGTAGATCTAAGTATCATCAGCATAGAGGTGGTTATGAAAGCCGTATGATCAGATAAGGCTACCAAGAGAGGCAGTGTAGAGAGGCATAAAAGAGGACCCAGTACAGAACCTTGTACAGAGAGACAGTACAGAGGGGGAGGTGGAGCCAGAGAAGTTAATGCTGAAGGAATGGTCAGATAGATAGTAGAGAACCAGGCGAGAACAGTGTCATTGATGCCAAGGTTGCAGAGGTTGAGTAGGAGCAGCGGGTGGTCAACAGTGTTAAAAGTAGCAGAAAGGTCAAAAAGAATAAGAAGTGAATAATGTCCTTTAGATTTGGCTGTCTCTAGGTCGTTAGTCACTTTGGTCAAGGCAGTCTCTGTGGAGTGTTGGGGGCGAAAACCAGATTGTAGAGTGAGGGAGTTGGAGTTCAGGTAGTCTGTGAGTCGGGTATATACCAGTCTTTCAAGGAGTTTGGAGGCAAAAGGAAGAAGTGAGATGGGGCAATAGCTAGATAAAGCTTCAGAGTCAATAGATTCTTTTTTTTTTAGCATGGGTGTGATGTAGGCATGTTTGAAGGAAGAGGGAAAGATGCCAAACTTGGGAGAAGGCACTGAGTGAAGAGGAAGAGGTTGGGTAAGGGAGGGAGTAAGAGACGCAATTTCATGTCAGATATTGTTAATCTTCTCTGTGAAAAATTATGCTAAACTTGTGGCAGAGAAGTGGTAAAAAAAGAAACAAAGGGTAAAGAAAAGGAGGCACAGGCCTTATCTAGATAAATGGTGTTATAATAATACATAAGAAATATATACTTTGATTTTGGGATGTTTAGTTGATGTATTTTTGAATTGAGGGGTTCCTTTTTGTTGTGCTACATTTGGTGTTATTTTGGATGTAAAGCTGGATGGGAAATGACTGGTCTCTGTTTTGTGTAACTCCCTGACGGGATTCATTAGTAGGGTCCGTCTTGCATGAAAGGGACATTTAACAGCCGGAACAAATAATCATGGGCACACAACATCCCAACAATCACACTCGTCAAGTTGACAAATATTGTGAAAATGCAGCCGTACAGAGCTCCTCCGCTGTCTCGTCAAAATCTCCTGCTGGCATGTCATCAGAAGTAACGTAATTGGAGATTTAAACGAGATGGCCATTTCGACAGAACACCGGCTGTGTTCCATTTACAGGAAATGGAAAGAGGAGCCACTTACGGAAACCAGCCATTCCCACCATGCAGACTCTAGGAATTGTATTATTTAAAAGGGAACGGGAATTCAGGTAGGAATGTTTGAAACGCTATCCATGTGAACTCTGATAAAGTTCGATATGGACGAAACTCGTTAGCAAGATGACATGGCAGCTGCTACCCGAGTGGGTTCTGCATGTCTATGTACGCCTAACGCCACACTGGAGAAATTTGCCCTGGAGAGCCGGTAGGAGTGAATATTCCTTGCCCTGGAGGTTTTACCCGCATTGAAGGGTGATAACTATATAACTCTGGCAACTAGATATGGGCATTTAAGGGTAAGACGTGCACACACAGTACCTGATGATTATTTATTTAGATGATGAACCGGGTGTCATGAAATGTGTGACAAACCCATTTGATGAACTAGCTACAGAGTACAAAAATTGAAAGGCGTTTAGTACTGTTTGCTTTGATTATGTCTTATTTGGATTGACTTGGATGACAGCTCTGTGCAACAGGGTATTGTACAGTCCTGGCCAAAAGTTTTGAGAATGGCACAAATATTGAATTTCACAACATCTGCTGCTTCAGTTTGTATGATGGCAATCTGCATATACTCCAGAATGTTATGAAGAGTGATCAGATCAATTGCAATCAATTTCAAAGTCCCTCTTTGCCATGAAAATGAACCTAATCACCCGAAAAATGTTTTGAGCCCTGCCACAAAAGGACCGGCTGACATGTCAGTGATTCTCTCATTAACACAGGTGTCAGTGTTGAGGACAAGGCTGGAGACCACTCTGTCATGCTGATTGAGTTAAGTTGGCCATACACTTTACAACCATCGCAAGACTTTTGTCTTGCGATGGTTGTAAGCTAATTAAAAGCTTGTACGATCTGCGCATCTTGGACAGGCAGATCGTACTTGCGATCATCGCAAGCCCGCCCCGCTGAGGGGAGGGCTTCCGATGACTGCAATGCTAAGCGGGCAGTGTGCGCTTGCGCACACCGGCCCGTGCAGCATTTGTCTTAAGAGCACGCCACAAACCTGCCGAAAATCTTACGACTTTCGGCTGGTTTTCCAACATGCTCGTTAGACAAAAGACGTGCGACCATACAGTAGAAACGGTCGCACGCCTTCCATACACAAAAAAAGTCCAGCAAACTCCAGGACCATCTCCTAAAGTTAATTCAGGTGTGTGATCGGGGCACCACCAGTGCAGAGCTTGCTCAGGAATGGCAGCCGGCAGGTGTGAGTGCATCTGCACGCACAGTGAGGCAGAGAATTTTGGAGGATGGCCTGGTGTCGAGAAGGGCAGCAAAGGAGCCACTTCTCTCCAGGAAAAACATCAGGGACAGACCGATATTCTGCAAAAGGTAAAGGGATTGGACTACTGGGGTAAAGTCATTTTCTCTGATGAATCCCCTTTCCGATTGTTTGCAGCATCCGGAAAATACCTTGTCCGGAGAAGAAAAGGTAAGCGCTACCATCAGTCCTGTGTCATGCCAACAGTAAAGCATCCTGAGACCATTTATGTGTGGGGTTGCTTCTCAGCCAAGCGAGTGGGCTCACAATTTTGCCTCAGAACACAGTCATGAATAAAGAATGGTACAAAAACATCCTCCAAGAGCAACTTCTCCCAACCATTCAAGAACAGTTTGGTGATGAACACTGCCTTTTTCAGCATGATGGAGCACCTTGCCATAAGTGAACTAAGTGGCTTGGGGAACAAAACATAAACATTTTGGGTCCATGGCCAGGAAACTCCCCAGACCTTAATCCCATTGAGAACTCGTGGTCAATCCTCAAGAGGCGGGTAAACAAAAAAACCCCACAAATTCTGACAAACTCCAAGCATTGATTATGCAAGAATGGGCTGCCATCAGTCAGAATGTGTCCCAAAAGTTGATTGACAGCATGCCAGGACAAATTGCAGAGGTCTTGAATAAGAAGGGGCAACACTACAAATATTGACTCTTTGCACAAACTTAATGTAATTGTCAATACAAGCCTTTGACATTTATGAAATGCTTGTAATTATACTTCAGTATACTATAGTAGCATCTGACAAGAAGATCTTAAAACACTGAAAATTAAACGTTTGGCCTGGACTGTATATAGTAATACCCCAGGATGCATGGCTGTAGACGTTTGAGTGATACATCTGTTATATGCCTCATGTTATCGTTGGGGGTCCCAAGGACAGCAATCCTCAGTGACTTTACCAAATATTATTTTCAGAAAAAGTAGAAATTTACTTTTTTCGTGCTCATATTTTGGATATATAAATTTTACTGTTGCTGTCTCCGATGATGCTCGAAGGACAAGTGATATGGGTGGAATTTTAGTCACCGCCATTTATTCTCCAAGTATTTTGAATTTGGAACGGACACACATTGCCTGAACTACCACTAATACAGCATACTTACATATGTGGCATGGTATGAGTGAACGAGGGGCCACGTCTGCAATATTATCAGGCATCATTAGAAAGGGGTTGCGACAAGGACTTTTATGGTCACTGTGTTTGAAAAGCATTTGTTTTACCCATCGGGTAGATTT